AGTCAGTCAGGTAGGGAGAGAATGCAGACTTCCGGGTTGGGGCTCAAAATCGTTGTCAATGGCGCAGATGTATTCAGTCTCTGTAATCTTTCATATTTCTTTCTACCATTACCCATTCTGTTTCACTCTTATACTTGTCAGACTCTATTGATTCTCTTCACTCATCTTCTTGTCCACCTCTGTGTGCTATTTGAAACGTGGCAACTCGAACTGCTGCACTTCGGTGCCAAGTTCTATGTTGAATCCAGACAGACAGACAGGCGGGTCGGAGGGATATCGTAGTGCTGGCTGGGGACTTGAATGCACAGGTGGGCGTCTAAGCTCAGAGGAGAATCGTCTAGGTGGTCAGTGGGGACTACATGGTCGCAGGTCAGATAATGGGGACCGTCTTCTGCAGCTTTGCGCGGATCACAACCTATTTCTAGCTAGCACCAACTTCCGGCACAGCCATCGCCGTAGCGCTACCTGGCGTCCTCCCTCTGCGAAGCAAGCTTGGACTCAGATTGATCATATCGCGGTCAGTTTCCGGTGGCGAGGATGCATACAAGACTGTCGCTCCTTCTGGAGCACATGCCTGGACTCCGATCATGCGTTAGTGTGTGCCAAGTTCGTCTTGCGATTTGGTGGGGTTCGTAAAAGCCGTCGTCTAAGCGTTGATGTGAGCAAACTAGTAGCACCTGCTACTTCTTTGAAATATCAGAATGAGTTAAAAACAATGCTTGCCAGCAACCCCCCAAGTAGTATAGATGAACATTGGCTTCATGTGCAAGGTGCCATGCAAAAGGCGAGTGTAGCCGCTTGCGGCTTGAAAGAATGCTCCGCTAACAACCACTGGGTTTCTGCGAGTTCCTTGCAACTCCTGGATGAACGCCGGTCCATTCCGGCTGGCAGCGAATACAACAATCAGCGAAAGGCGCTCACGCGCAAGATTAGACAGTGTTTACGTAAGGACCGCGAAGCCTGGTGGTCAGAACGTGCGTGTGAGATGGAGTCAGCTGCTGCATCTGGCAACAGTCGGAAGCTGTTCCAACTCATACGAGCCACCGGCAGCAAGAAACAAGGTGTCAGCGAGACGGTCTGTGAGGCAGATGGCACTCCAATTACCAGCCTGAAAAGACGCCTGGAACGCTGGGCAGAGCACTTCGGGAAGCAGTTCAGCTGGCCACCAGCTTCAGTGTCTACTATCATTAGCCCGAGTGCTCCTTGGTCGGTTAGTACCGACCCACCCACCGAAGCGGAGGTCCGTAAGGAACTCCAAGTTCTGAAACGCCATAAGGCGCCCGGCCCAGACAAATTACCCCCGGCTCTTTTTAAAGATGGTGGCGAGACTCTCACAATGGCTCTAACTGGGTTGTTCAGGAAGGTGTGGGAGACAGAGAGTGTACCATCAATGTGGAACGAAGCCATTATCGTCCCCATCTTTAAAAAGGGTCGACGTAATTCGTGTGACAATCATAGGGGTATCAGTCTGTTACCAGTCGCGTCTAAAATATTGGCTGCTGTCTTGCTTCGCAGACTGTGCAAAATACGTGAAGGATTGATTCGCGAAGAGCAGGCTGGGTTTCGTTCAGGTCGTGGATGCTTGATCATGTGTTCACCCTTCGTCAGTTGTTGGAACACCGCCACACGTATTGCAGGCCAACGATCGTTGTGTTTCTTGATATTAGGGCTGCCTTCGATTCGTTGGACAGAACTGTGCTCTGGAACTGTCTGTTAGAGAGAGGTGTACCTGAGAAATTTGTTAACATCGAAAGCCCTATACAGAAACACCTCAGGTAGAGTGAGGGCATACAACCAACTATCACCACTGTTCCCAACCAACAGTGGGGTTAGACAGGGTTGCCCAATCTCTCCATTTCTCTTTAACTTTGCCATCGATGACATTCTGGAGTCAGCTCTGAAGGATGTGCGTGAAGGTGGTGTAGATCTGCTACCTGGAGATAGACTTTTCGACCTCGAGTATGCAGACGATATCGTCTTACTGTGCGATAGCATGCAGGCTGCCCAAATCGCACTTAATCAGTTGGCGATCAGTGTCTGTAAGTATGGTATGTGCTTTGCGCCGTCTAAGTGCAAAGTACTGTTACAAGATTGGCAGGAGCCTGTACCTGCACTCACTCTTGCGGGTGAACCGCTTGAAGTTGTTGATAAGTTTGTGTACCTGGGTAGTTGTGTGAGTGCTGGCGGAGGGGTGACGGATGAGATTTCCAACCGTATAATGAAGGCTAGGGTGGCATACATCAACTTGAGCCACCTCTGGCGCCGTCGCGACGTTAGCCTGGCTGTCAAAGGTCGGGTATACAATGCTTCGGTGCGGGCTGCCTTGCTCTACGCCTGTGAAACCTGGCCTCTCCGAGCTGAGGATGTGCGGCGACTCTGCGTGTTCGATCACCGCTGTCTCCGCAGGATTGCTTGCGTTCGATGGCATCATCGCGTGAGTAATTCTGAGGTTCGGCGGCGTGTGTTTGAACACAGTGGAGATCACCATTCATTGAATGTCGTCATCTGGAAACACCGGCTCCGGTGGCTTGGACATGTGCTCCGAATGTCATCCCAGAGGCTTCCGTACAGGTCTCTGTTCGCTAGCCCTGGGACGGGATGGAAAAGGCGGAGAGGTGGTCAGTCCATGACGTGGCGTCGTGGGATGAAGGATTTTTGTGCTAGATTAGCATCGGTTGGTGTGTCACGACTCCCTGGTTGGGGTCCGCGAGATAGCTCAAATCGATGGCTCGAAACGTTATCGGATATGGCCAAGAATCGTAATCAGTGGCGAATGTGTTGCGATTTCCTTCTTTCTTCCCTTCCCGATGATAGTTAACGAACACTGTTTGAACTTGTTAAGCATGACTGTTTTCCTTCCAGATGAAGTTCTTTATCCGTTCTCTACTTATATATATTTTTTTCTTTTCCTTCCTTCCCTTTTTTTTTTTTGATCTATGTTGTTTTATTATTATTGTGTGGCGCATCTTTCTTGGTGCCATATTGTACCAAGTTTTTTATGCGTTTCAATAAATAAATAAATAAATTGGTTTACTCAACGACAAAAAAATTGAGTGGATCTTTACTAAACAGTTTTGAGACATTAACTGTTGTTCTATCGCCTTACCATTTAACAATTACAATCGACAAGCCAGAATTATGCTAATCAGTATATTCAATTTGTCATAACCATGATACTGTAATCTATTTATTCATGAATGCCTATGGTAAGGGTCAGGAAGGTATATAACAAATGAAGGTCGTTGCATATTACTTTTGATTTCTCAATTGAAGATTTAAACTAGATTCATTTAAAATTATAGACAGGACAACATTTATGTCAAGCATCACAATAATAGATGTGCTTTCCAAAGAAGTCATCAACTGGGCTGAACACATAGCGAAGGTGTGAGAGTGATCCATAAGTATTCTCCCCCGACGGGAATTAGTTCTGTAACTCTCTCACCTCTTTAGTTTATAATGACAGGGTACCATAGTTATCATTACGTGTTGCGCAGGTGATAATTATCTTTTAGTGATGGTCGATTGCCTAAGGAACTATTCTCTTTTTTTAATGCTTTATAGTGAAATACTCTGTCTGAAGGGGAACTCTTAAGCAAATTATACTCTAGAAGCAATCGGTAACGAAATAATAATACAAAGGGGCTGGACGAAGATTGTATTACATTGCTGTCTGTCTGTCTGTTTTCGACATAGAACTTTGTACAAATGTGCGAAGTTCAAGTCGCCACACTCCGTGTAGCACGCGAAGCAAGAGAAGAAAGTACAAGAAAAGCATAATAGAAACAGTGAGCAGAGGTGTGAGACAAAGGAGTAATAAAGAAAAACAAAACAGTTTCATTCTGTCAATTCGTACAAATGAAACAGTTTGGCATCAATTATCCTCAAGTACATAAAGATGAAAACATTGTTGAGGAACACTTCGGTGTGCAGGTGAGACAACTGTTATCAATGTACTTTTTTTTAACGCCCGACCGAAAGCTGCTACCTTGACGTGGTGGTCGGGCTTGAACACCGCAATGATCTATTCAAGCTATACTGGCTGAGACTTATGTCTCTTGAGGTCCTACCATGCCAAGCAGGTTGTTTGGATAGCGGTTAAACAAAAAGCAGCTACCCAATCCAACATCATGATCAATACAAAATCACAAAATTTCATGCCGGATCGGCCGTGTCCCGGATTAACAACGACCACGCTTCCTGCTGCCGTGTCACAGGGCAGGAGTTATAAGTATGCTACTGAGACACACAAAACAACAAAGAACAAACAAAAGCAGGCCGCATGTAACCGGCCCCAAGCAGTTGTCCCCTGGGCTTTGCGGTCACGCAACCAACTTCCACGGTGTGGGCAGCCGGGAAGTAACAATCGCCCTCACAATCCGAAACGCACGCGAAACCTCTCTATTACTCACTCATCTTTGTCTTCATCTCTATCATCTTGTCTTCCTTCCACTGATGCAACTCCTCGACTTGATAGCTCTCCACTTCCTCTCCACTCTGCACCACTAAAAACGATGGAAGCCATAAAACCACCACCGACAGCCTCTCAAAGCCGCGCCACCAATTTCATATTACATTGCTATTCTGAAAGAGGGGTCCATATTTCTTGAAATTATCACTATCGACGATTTGTATAAAAGTCTTTTTTATTCCTCCACGTTCCGAGCTAGAGCTTCTAAGTTTAGGTAGCAGTAATTTTATTTTTACGGGATGTGGGTGCTAGTTTCACACCCAACCTTCCGCCTTTACCGGCTAAACGAGTGCCTTGGTCGGGGATAGAACCACGGACCAGGTGAGTGGTTGACAAGCCCAGTCAATTTGTATAAAAGACTCCACGCTTATTTTGGGAAACTGAAGATCCGATTTCAATGTGAATCAGATAGCACTGGATATATTTCCACCCTTCATTTGAAAATATATGAGTTCATATAAGCTAAAACTTCACTACACTATAAAGTATTACAGGTACTTACTTATCAAGTATAGATATGATAATACAACTGAAGTAAACTGCAGACTAGTAATAGTTTATTTTCTAGAAAAATAAACCATTCTGTACATGAATATAAGTGACAATATAAAAGACATTTACACAGGTATTCATTAGGATGAAAGAGTTCAAGCTTGTTTCTGCTTTCCACTAGAAGTTCTTGATCCTTTGAAGGCTTTTTTACGAGCACTGGATGCTTGATTTTTTGAAGGAGTATTAGCTGTATTCTTAGTTGTTTCTTTGTTGGCATGCAGAGAGATAGATTTCATTGGCACAGAACCCATAATTAATCCGACCAAGATTGATAAATGGCATGCATGTAACAGACCGCTGCTCCAAATGGTTGATGGATAAGTGTTCCAACAAATTTCAATTAGACCAAGAATTAACAGTCTATCGAAGGAAACAAGTACACAGTGTATGCAATTATCTAAGCGCTATATATTAAGGAAAAATAAATTTGTCAAGATATGATTTAAACTGTATATCTTTAGCATTCATCAAACGACTGAACCAAAAGAAAAATAAGGCCTAGGTATTACTTCACTTACAAGATATGTTTCGATCACTCGAAGAAGACGTATCAGTGCTTAAAGCATTATCCCAACGTGTTAGGAAACACACGTTTTAACAACTAATAAATGCAATGAAACCCACAGTCCAGAAAACAACTAACCAGTCGTTCTTTATTTTAAAACATGAATGCATAGGATAAACCCATAACAACTACAACCATAGACCAAAGATGTAGTGAGTAATATATGCTTAGATTCGAGTCTCCCTATTCCCCAACATTCCATAAGCAGAACTTTCTTATATCCATTAGATAAATCCGTAATGTCTATAAATCTTCAATATTTTGAAACATATTTTAAAACTTTCTCGATATGAAATTTTATCATTTAAGATATAGGTTAGATTAATGCGAAGTGTTACTTTATATGATGAAACAACCTACTGAAAATGTACAGCGATGAAATAACTCTTAAAAGTAAAATTAGTACAAATCATTAACCCAGTGTGGAGGTTTCTAGGATCCAGGTCATGAACCAAAGTAAGTACAATGGGGCTTGTTGACTGAAAGCTAGCAAGCAACACCTTCATACAGACTGATGTCTACAGGGATCTATTAATATCAATTGATTGCGTTTGTCCAAAATAATTAAAAGTAAATCTCAAACGCCAAAGCGTTACCCACTAGAGACTAGTGGCACTGGGTTCGAGCCTCGGTGGGAACACCTACACTCACTGGGGAATGCAGGTACCTCCAAATGATGCGTTCAAAATAGAACGAAATGCGTATCCTGGATCCCACTGCTAGTCACCATCAACTAACTAACTTCAAGTTACATGAACAGACATCATCGAAGCATCTACACAAGGAGCCGAAATATCAGTCTGAGACGGATCACTTTGGTCCAATCAATCGACTGAAAATCTAAATTGAACCAAGTAATTCGCATGTTGTTGAAACAGAGAGCATAGATTAAGACCCTGGTTATTGTTATCGTTTCTATGAAACAAAGAATTAAACAGAAAGTATACACAACAGACAATAACAACACAGTGTTAGCAGGGTTTGTATGTACAGGTTGTACAGATAATAATATATAAGTTCACTACAATCAATAAAATGAAAAATGACCTGAAAACTGCAAGACTATTTTTTTAAAGAACATTAAGTTGACAAAGAACTAAATACAACCCCAAATGCTAAAAGATTAGGTTATAACGGCTTCAAAACACAATCATCATTTTTAAAGCATACATCCATAGATACAGAGTGAAATAAAGAAAGGTTACCCTTTCAATGGGTCTATTTTAAACTATTAAATTATGTGCTTTCTAAAAGTAAAAGAAAAATATCAGGAAACTAAAATGCATGAAAAATATTCACACATACACACATCTATTATTTTGCTTAACGTTTGACAAGTGGACCAGTTGTCAACATATACATTTCAACAAGAACAATAAAAAAACTCCCCAAAGAGCCAACATGCATGAATTGAAATCCCAATATATACTGGTTTTAATCTATAATTAATTCATGTTACTTATTTAAAACAGCCAACTATATAGCTTGATTCGTCACTGAAATTAAATCATACCGCGTATTCTAGCCCTAGGTAATAATAAGTGAATGTAATCATCCTAATGTTCAATATGTTCACAAGTTTTATAGACAATTCTCTCAAGATTTCCAATGAGTACTTTGATTGAAGACTAGTTAAGAACTAGTATAACGTATCTAGTCCTTTGTTTTCTTGCAGACTGAATCCTATAATGTGGTTACCGTGCTAACTGGTGAGTTCCAACAAGGATGAAATTCAGGTCCAAGGCTTCCTGCCGATTGCCTCCAACAATCTAATTTCCGATGAGTGCTAACAAGCATTAAACCCCAAATGGCAGAATTTTAGTGACCGTTGTCTCCAACCATCTTAAGGTAGACTGTCTGTCTGTCTGTCTTCAACATAGAACTTGGCACCGAAGTGCAGCAGTTCGAGTTGCCACCTTCCAAATAGCCTGTGCCTGCGTTCTATTTCCCGTGTAAAGTGGCATAATAAGGTGAGCAATATTGAGGTGAGGCGTAGAGTTCTAGGTAAACAGGGAAATCAATCGACGAAGTCGTGAAGCTACAAAGACTGAGATGGTTAGGACATGTGTTACGTATGCCAAGCCATCGCCTCCCTCAACGAGCAATGTTAGCAGATATAGGGTCAGGCTGGAAAAAAGCTAGCGGCGGTCAAACAAAAACTTGGCATCAGTCAATGAAATCCACAACAGTTGGTCTAAGCCACGTAGGAAGGTGTAGACTTCCAGGCTGGGGTCCTCGGGACGGTAAAAATCTATGGTTGGAAACAATTGGTGACATGGCTCAAAACCGTTCTCAGTGGCGCAGATGCATCCACTCCCTGTGACTTATGATCTTCAATGAAACTGTTTTGTATTTCTTTATTACTCCTTTGTCTCACACCTCTGCTCACTGTTTCTATTATGCTTTTCTTGTACTTTCTTCTCTTGCTTCGCGTGCTACACGGAATGTGGCGACTTGAACTTCCGCACATTTGTGCAAAGTTCTATGTCGAAAACAGACAGACTTCCAAATAGCACACAGAGGTAGACAAGAAGATGAGTGAAGAGAATTAATAGAGTTTGACAAGTATAAGAGTGAAACAGAATGGGTAATGGTAGAAAGAAATATGAAAGATTACAGAGACTGAATACATCTGCGCGGCCATTGACAACGATTTTGAGCCATGTCACCTATTGTCTCCAGCCATTGATTCCTAGAGTCCCGAGGGCCCCAACCCGGAAGTCTGCATCTCCCTACCTGACTCAGTTTAACTGTCAAGGATTTCATGGATTGATGCCATGTTTTTGTTTGGCCACCACTTACTCTTTTCCAACCTGCACCTATATCAGCTAGTAATGCCCGTCGTGGGGAGGCGATGGTTAGGCATGCGCACCACCTGACCTAGCCATCTCAATCTATGTAACTTTATAGCCTCGTCGATCGAGTTTCCCTCTTTGCCCAACACTCTACGCCTAACGTCAACATTACTTACCTTATTAAACCACCTAACGTGAGACAGAGATCGCAGACATCTATGATCGAAAGCAGTCAACCTTTTCATGTCTTCAACTCGTACTGGCCATGTTTCAGAGCCATAGAGAAGGACGGAGCGAACTGATGAGCAGTACACACGTCCCTTGGTTGATAGCCGGATGTCACGCCTACGCCAGAGATGGTGTAAGTCAGCGAAAGCAGCTCGAGCTTTTTGGATCCGTGCTGAGATTTCATCGCCAATCAGTCCGTTGGTGCTGATACAACTTCCCAAATAGGTGAAGTGGTCAACATGTTCTATCACTTCACTCCCTATCACTAAGGTAGGAGTTGAGGTAGTCTAGTCCTGTAGCAGCTTCTTACATTTTACAACAGGGGCGAATCGCATGCCAAACATACGAAGATTGCTGCTCAAGGTGTTCAGAAGACTCTGCATTTTGTCAGCATCCTCCCCTAACAGGACTATGTCATCTGCATATTCTAAGTCCATAAGACTATTCCCTGGTAACAAGTCGATTCCTAAGTCGTTACGTTCAGTTAAGGATACTTCCATTAGCATATCTATGATGAAGTTAAACAGAAATGGGGAAAGTGGACATCCCTGCCGGACACCACTGGTTGTTATCAATTCAGATGACAATTCCCCATAAGCCCTTACACGACTACGTGAGTTTGAATAGAGTGCAATGTACTTTCTTGGCACTCCCTTCACAGTCAGACATTGCCATAGTACCTTTCGATCCACGGAGTCGAAGGCCGCCTTCAAGTCAAGAAATATGACAATTGTTGGACGCCGAAAAGTGTGTCTATGTTCTAGAATCTGTCGAAGAGTGAAGATATGATCTATGCACCCTCTACCTGGTCTAAAGCCTGCTTGATTTTCCCTTGTCTGTTCCTCCCGAGTTCTGCTTAGTCTATGCATGATTACTGAGCCTAGGATTTTAGAGACTATGTTCGTTAGGCTGATCCCCCTATGATTATCACACGAGGACTTGTTTCCCTTCTTGAATATCGGTATAATAAGTGACTTACCCCAGTCTGATGGCACTGTCTCTGATTCCCACACTTTGCCTAGTACCTCAGTTAATCTACAAACTAGTATGTCACCCCCATATTTAAACACCTCCGGAATAATTCCGTCGGGTCCTGCCGCTTTGCCTCGTTTCAAATTACTGATAGCTTTTGTGACCTCACTTACAGACGGCGGACCAGTGTCTATATCCCATTCGGGTGTGTGTGGATGTCGGGGAGGTTCAGTGTGGCTGTAGGCAAGTTAAATTGTCCCTCAAAGTGTTCTTTCCAGCGTTCAAGGCGTCTATCCTGAGAGCTAATTAAGGAGCCATTTTTCTCAGAAATAGTCTCACTTATGATTTGCCTTCTCCCACCCGTTTCCCTGATGAGTCTAAAGAGTTGCCTAGTGTTGCCTATCGCCGATGCTTTTTCCATCTCTTTGGCTTTTGTCACCCACCACTGTTCACGGTCCTTGCGGAGACTTTTCGTAAGTTTCCTTTTGTGCAGCTTTCGCTCCTCATTGAATTCGGAGCTCGCCGGAATAAGTCTTCTAGCATCTATCAGTTCGGATGAGGCGGTGGAGATCCAGTGGTTTTTACTCACCTTTGGGTTTAACTTATTCACAGCTTTTACAGCTGTATCTATGGCTGCCTGGATATTCTTCCAAGCTTCTTCAGGGTGAGCACAGCTGTCGAACACAGATATGTGTTTAGCTAGTTCTTCCTCAAATACGGATTTAGTTTCCTGATCGAGCTGGGGACGTGATGGTTTTACCGCCAGCTGTTTCCTACGTCCGTTCAGTCGTAAGCACACCCGAGCGCGGACCAGTGCGTGGTCGGTATCTACACACGTGTTCCAGAAGGAGCGACAATCTCCTACCGACCCACGCCAACGATAGCTTATTGCTATGTGGTCTATTTGTGTCCAGCGTTGGTTTGATGATGGGGGTCTCCAAGTCAAACAGTGTCTCTCCTTGTGTTTGAAGTTAGTGCTTACAAGAAACAAATGATTATCTGAACAGAACTGTAGGAGACGGTCACCGTTGTCGGTTCGCTGGCACGGGACTCCATAGGTGCCACCGACATCCTTCTCAGATTGACACAATTTCCCTACTTGAGCGTTAAAGTCACCAGCTAGAACGACTATATCTGAGCGTTTAGCCTTTCGCACCAAACTAGACAGCTTTTGGTAGAACTCATCCTTCGTTTCATCCGAACTGCAGTCAGTGGGGGCGTAGGCGGAGATTACGAAAAGGCATCGGCGAGTAGTGCAGTCCTTTCTCCTTCTTACTGATCCGTTCAGACGGACAGCACACATTCGGCTATCTACTGGGATCCAGTCAAGTAATGTCTTTTCTGCCCTAGTACTCAAAGCTATCCCTACACCAGCTAATCCTCGTGAACTGGCTGTGGCATCTCCTGACACCCTCAAGGTGAATTTTGAAGATTCATCCTGTTGGCCAGGTGGGGTTAGGTGAATAACCACACTTGGGTCTTGTATGCGTGTTTCTGAAACACAACATACATCAATGGCTCGGGATGCCAGGGTCTTAGCTAGTGATGCTTGTTGTCCTATTTGGCAAAGTGTCCTAACATTAAATGCTCCTATATGAAATTGGTTTAAGGTAGACTACTCTACTATGCAGAAGTGTGTTATGTTTTAGCATGCAAGTGCTATTCATCATGATGAATAGAATTTGAGCACTGTGGTAGAGCATACTGCCGTATTAGTTAGGTATCTTTGATACCATACCGTGATACAGTATTATTAACTGGATGATGTCTCGAACAGAATTTATCGCTGTTGTTATGGTTATTCATGATTGCTGGGGATTATCTACTTTTGACAGTCATAGACATTCAGTTATGGATATGCATCAAAAGATGAGAGTGTGAACCACGAGATATTAAGACTGTTAAGTGATACACTTAATAAGATGATCAATTCTAGCTTGAACTGCAAAAAAAAAAATGAAGGAATTTTTAAATGCGTATTACAATAATCTATCATACTGATGAATATGAATCTGAAATAAGTTAGCTAAGTTACATGCTAAACGATAATATGTTTTGCCACTTTCAATCTTATTCTAACTTGACTAACTATAACTGAAAGGTATGAAAATTTTATTTTATTTTTCTCAGTGCTCTTCACATATGTATTCAGTGTTAGTGAAGTAAACCATAGTAGTCAATAGTACTCACCGGACAGGAACGGAGAAGCCTTTAACACACCATAGCAGGTATGGAATAGTATGATAATACCAAACATAGAATTGATAATGCAACGAACGACTAACAATAATACCGACGAAATTCGACATGAACAAGGGGTATAGGATAGCTATATTTTAAAAGAGATCAAAAAGCCGAGAAAAATAACTCGAAGAAAAAAACAAGGTTAATTAACATTTAAAGTGAACAGTGGTAGTTACCTCAAGGCAGACAAACATCATCCTTTTAATATCAATGGCCTTGGAATCTGTTGAAAGTACGGAATACCAACGTCAACATTGTTATCTTCAGCTAGATTACACACGAAATACATAAAGAAATTTACAGTGAAATCAGAAGACATAATCATACCTGCGTCCGTATTATCAGGGTCAATAATGATGAACAGTTGAAGGCGAAAGTATTTTACTTCTTAAGAGATACAGCTTGTCTTGACACGTGAATCTTACCGAAACCCATCCAAGAAAAAATAAATGCAATTTTTTGCATACAAGTCTTCCCAACATACAGTTACTTAAGTCCACAGAGTCAGTGTTTAGATTTAAGCAGGTTGTAAGGCGTTGAATGTCTTCACCAAACGGTCGTATGACGATTGCTGAACCACAGCTTCAATTATATTTACAATAGTTACTGCTTTAGAAAGTCGATTTATATAGTGGCTGAAAATTGAACCCCGCCCCATTAGCATCACTAGCTGTCACATAGGTGTAGCTATTGCCAAGTGTATGAATATTTACGTTTCTTAACGGCTATGTCTCACCTGGAGCACCAGTGCGTCGGTGGCACAGCGGTTAGGACGCTCGTCGACCATGCACATGGTCTGGGGTTCGATCCCCAGCCAACGCACTTCTTTACCTCGCTGAGCCAGAAATAATGCTGGTAAAGAGGAAAGGTTGGGCATGAAGCTAGCAACCTCATCCTGTAAAATTAAACACTGATACAGAAACTTCAAGCCAACAGCTTGGGGCCCTATGTTCCACTGGGAACGTGAAGGAAAAAAACCGACTATGTTTATATTTTATTTAAATCCAAGTACATACGAATAACTTAGTAATCAAATATGACGACTTCATCCCCTCTGTTATACAAATACTCGACTGTGAATACATTACAGATATATGACACATTGAAATGGGAAAGCAAAGTTCAACACAACTCATACTCTTTCCCCTTTTCCAGTTACTCAGCTTCTCTATACAAATGAGAAAATTCATTAAACTAGTGAAAAATCTATACATATTAAATGAAACTAAAGACTATTAGAAGATACCTGAAATCACGATAATCCACAGTATCAAAAAACAAATATTTCTCTAGCTGACTTCAAAGTTTCAGTAGATAAAACTAGTCGTAATTAATTTCAGAACTAGAAAATTTCGAGTTGATTTATTAACATATATGGAATTCTCAGGTAATATCAATAAAAAACCACTACTGTGATTAAAGCCCAAATAAACAAGTAATTTTATACTAATAATGGTAATTTCAAAGACAGATGCATCGCTGTTTTCGATTAGGGGTCAGTAAATGAATGAAGCGAAAATCATAAATTCGATTGTTATTTTCATCTATTATTTGAGTTCATTCATTTGGTTTTTTATAGAGCATATTCAAACAGGGTCATGCATTCACATTGTAAACAAACCATAAAATCTTTCCATATTCAAATAAAAGGCGTCAGTACACCTCAATTTCTTTGTGTAGACACCTTTATCATGCGGAATAAGAGAGAACTATATCACATGTCTAGTTGATATCAATGATGCATAATCAAAACATTTTTACCCAGCAAGTGAAAAATATAGTTGATTACCTGAAGGATCCAACTTTGGATTTCGTTCAGGATCAAAAATGCAGAGATAATTCCATAAGCCACCACGTGAACTACAAAGTGAAAGAGTTTACACACAATACATTGTGGAATAATTTAACTGGCTAGGTACCACGAGTGCTAACACTCGAGCTAACCATTGAGCTATCATAGACTTCAATTGAAGTTGACAAAAATCACAACATGAATGCTATTTAATTTAATTTAAGAAAGCGAACTTGTCCAGTCAAATCTTTGTTCCCAGGCAAAAAAAAATGAGGGAAATTGGAGACCAGTCTCCTTGCTAATCACTATGCATCACTGTCCTCGGAGGTGGATTTAAAATCTACAATAATTTATCTTGACAGCAAATATATTACTATGTTAAGTAACACTGCTGTAGAGTTATCGAGAATCATAGGTAAAATGCTTTTTTATGAGCTATTGAAAACGATATCACACTAACTCACTATTTGTTCCATAGTAGATACGATTCTCTGCCTAGTGACTGGGCAGATAATTATTCATTTACCTTCCAATGCACAAAACAGATGAGAAGCTTTTACATGCAATTTGTTGAACTAAATATTCCTATTATTGTATTTCTTATCCTAAGAGTGGTTCTCACTTTACTTGTTCTTTTATGTTTTAATTTCAATTCATAATACTGTTTAAGTGGTACGCTTCTGTGCTGTTTATCCTTATGGATATAAAGATGCATTAGTTCAAGCACTATTACATTTTCTTACATCAGCGAATCCATAATATCGATACTACTTACTCAACAAGATACTAAGGTGTAAAATATGAGTCAATTCCACTTTGTATAGTAATACGACCTTGACCTGGCGGCCAGTTCGAATTTGCATCCATTCTACCGTTTACTCACATTTATTTATCACCTAAATATGAATTCAAACAGGATCATTTACTCATAATTTTATTAATCACTTAAGACCAAATGACTTTCATATTCCCAAGAAATCAAGGAGGAAACATCGTGGTGGTTGGCAGAGAGCTCTCAAACGTATACCAATACACTTAACTACGGTCTCTGTTATAATGAACACAAACTATCACTCTCTGTCTACCTACAATCTCTGATGTCCACTGACACTTATCATAATACTGCCATAATCACATTAAAAGAAACGTGGTTACATGAACTGTATGATGACAACATTATCTCACTAAAGGACTTTGTATTATTTAGACAAGATCGTCACTGTTGTAATAAGAAAAATGGTGGTGGCATTGCAACATTAATTCACTCCAAATGATCTGTTTCAAATAATGTTCGCTTCTCATTCTCAAATGACTTCATAGACTGTATTACTGTCAAATGTCGTCCCAAACATCTCCCCAAATATAAACATATCTTTCGATAAAAAAAGTAAGACGAAATTTGCAGTATAAAATGATATCATTCTATTTCACAGGTTCTCATCATCTGCAGACTACCTGAAGTTACAATGCTTATATAAATGATAATAACATACTTAAATGTTTGAGTGACTAAAGAAGAAATAAAGTTGACGCATCAAAAATGAAAGCATTACAATTTTAGTTTAAGTTTTCATCATCAATTTATACGCTTTTAAAGTTGAAAAGAGGGGGAGGGGTAAGACAGAAAACAGAAAAAAATTGATTGAAAGAACAGTGTTAGCTTGTAGGTTCACATAGCAACTCCAATAAGCAAAAACGGTTACAGTTTATGAGATTAATATTTGTTCAGTGAGTTGAGATCACTGAATAAGATGACTAATTAATGTAATCAAAATCAAAATCCAGTTACCAAGGGAGTGAAAGGTTAATCACACTCTCTTTCTGTATGCATTAGTCTGGTTTAAATCGTTTGATTGCGACCACTTCGGCAAATCGTAGTAAATTTTCTGTCCTTTGTTTATTTAATATTTTGAAGGAATTAAAAATCTCTACGAGATGTCCGGTATCTGTTTTCTTTCTTACCCCTCCCCCTCTTCTCAACTTTAAAAGCGTATAAATTGATGATGAAAACTTAAACTAAAATTGTAATGCTTTCATTTTTGATGCGTCAACTTTATTTCTTCTTTAGTCACTCAAACATTTAAGTATGTTATTATCATTTATATAAGCATTGTAACTTCAGGTAGTCTGCAGATGATGAGAACCTGTGAAATAGAATGATATCATTTTATACTGCAAATTTCGTCTTCCTTTGTTTATCGAAATTTACCAAGGGAACCAATTGTATGAAGTTTTTGAAAAAACGTATCTTTGTTACAAACATGTACATTTCTCCTAGTTGCTCACCATCTGATCTATCTAATTTTGCTGACGAATTCACCATGTTTGCCGCTGCCAACTTCAACAATTCTCTGTGTTATTACTGGGGACTTCAACTCCTCAGATTGCTCCTTCCTTGAAGCACTTGGTCATACACACTTATACAAATTTCCCAATCGACTTGACAAAATACTCGATTTAGTTTTCAGAAACGACGAAGGAATATATGAAACACGTAAACGTGCACCGATACTTAACCCTGATCACTGTATTGTTCGCGTTTTACCAAAAATATACAGCAAAACGCATATTAAAGTCTTCTCACGCTTGTCTATGAAAGCACAACGAAGATGTTACACATCTGAAAACTTACTTAAACTCAGGTGCATGTTAAAAAATACTAACTGGGATTTATTTAATGAAAGTAAATTAGATGATACAATCGCCAATATAACGGACTATCTTAAGTTCTGCCTCGATATATGCTGTCCCAAACAAACACTATTCAAACGCTTCGACTGCTTCTCGTCTCCTCGTCTCAAACAACTACGCAGGCAAAAGGAAACATTATATATATCCAAAGATAAGTTAGGACTTAAAAAGATTAATGCTCTAATCAAATCTGAAATCAAAAACCTCAATGCTATCTATAACCATACACTTTTATCATGCAAATCTCCAATCAACATGTGGAATTTTTCAATGAGATTACTGGCAATAGTAAGCTTTTCCCTCTTATGATGTTAACTCTCTTAATCAGTCTTTTATACGCTCTCCTTCTACTATAATTCCTTCTAACGTTACGAATCATATAGCTGATAACTTTCATGACTTTAATGCTCTTGATGTTCTAAAATGTCTTAAGACGCTTAAACCCTCACGTAGCTTTGGCCCTGATGGTGTACCTGCCTATGTTCTAAAACAATGTGCAGATGCTCTTTGTTCTCCACTTGCTAACATCCTAAATGCTTCTTTTTCCAAAAATGTTGTACCTATTCCATGGAAAGACATTAAAATAGTCCCTGTCCCTAAACCTGGTAATAGCAAGAACGTAAAGTTCAGACCCATTGCCATTACTTTTCCGTTTCTAAAGCTTATGGAAAAAATAGCACTTCTTAAACTTGAACCTCCCTTAAAAGTTTTAAAGACCCCAAACAATTTGCATATAGACAGGGTAGGAGCACGTTGGATGCTGCAGCCGTCTTACACAACAGTATCGTCCCATCATTAGATAAAGGTGCCAAATACGTTCGCTGCACGTTCCTCGACTTCACTTCTGCTTTCGACTCTGCACCTAGATGTCTCTTCCTAAATAAGCTCTCGATGACACAAGCTGGTTGCATTCCTACTTCTCAAACAGAATGCAGTAAACTGCATAAAAAGGTAAATCCTCTGCTGTGCTCACTGAAGCTGGTGTCCCCCAAGGTGCTGTACTCTCCCCACTTCTCTTTTCTTTCTTTCTACATGACTTACCATCTTCAAATGACATTACCTTTGTTCAATATGCTGACGACCTGACTGTATCTTTGCCTGTCAAATGTCAAAGCGACTGCTCCAAACTAAATGGCTTTTTATCAGAAATCAGCCAGTGGTCCAAGGAAAACGGTCTAACCTTAAATCCCTCTAAATGCCAAACAGTCAATTTAACCTTTGGGCATAAATCTGACTTAAACAAACTGGTTAGCACTCACGAGGTGTGCAACATAGATGAGCGCTGAAATAGAAACCAAGTCGAAAATAAAATATCTCGGCGTCATTCTATCTGCTGATCCTTCCTGGTCGTCTCATATCTTGATGATTTCTCAGAAAACATTCCGTCTTACCTTCTACATCAAGAAATTATGACATTCTGGAATAATCCGACCCTTACTCTTACGATTCGTTAACTCTTGCATCCTGTCTATTATTCTCCATTGTTCTCCCTTAGTTTTTCCAGGGCTACTGAAGAAAGGCTGTACCTTATTACGCAGGATGTTAAAGGTTGTCAGCAGGGTAAGCAATGTGCCACTTAACCAGCTTGTTAATATCCTGGTCGACAGGCTCTTGGACTCATTTGAAAAATGGACTAAATCGATTCTATCTAACTCTGACCACCCTCTTCATTCATAACTCACCCACTGTATCTCATCACGCAAAACCAGAAATCTATACAGGAAACTATATGCTCGCACTAGCTAGTACAAAAACTCAACCATACCCCATTTAGCTCGTGTTCTGTTCGATAAAGAAAGCATTAGGCGTGAAACGTATGACTTATTAAATAGTCAGTAGAACAACTGTATCTCGTTTTTTCAACTTATATCATTCATAGGTAAAAACGTTTTCTTTCTTTCCTTTCCTTTTTTGTTATGTGCTCTTTTGTTTCTTTTTTCCTTACAACCTCTACTCAAAACATTCTTATTCGTTCTTTCAGACTGTATATCTCGACCTTTTTGTTACCGCTTACGCCAGTAAATATGCTAACATCTACTTTTCTAACACCAAACACTCTGTTCAATTTTGGCTTTGCTACCGACATGCTAATATGTTGTTGTCAAAACTAACCGAGATTACCCTTAATCTATGTAGAATTTTATTTATTGTTAATGTACTAACTGGATGCAATACTGTGGTAAAGTGCTGAGAATTCCATTCTGTATCACAAGTACTGTTTTGGAATAAAGCAAATTATTATGCGTATTTGATTACCACGAAAACGAAACAAGAGATCAAATGTCATGCACTGCTTATTGCCTTCGTTGAAAATATTTGTTCCTGATACAGTAATTGCAAAGCAAAAAATAAAAGTTATACTTACCGAACAAACTTCCAGAAAAATATGAATAGCAGACATAAATGTACACTCAACAAAAGTAGGTGAAACCGCCTATCCAAGAACGTGTCTTCTGGTAGGAATTTCCAGTTAACTGTCCATACAAACATAAACTGGCGACCAAAATCAAATGCTCTGCTCACATATGCCCAGGCATTGTGGAACAGAAATGGAGTGCCAACAGCCAACTGAAATTCATGGAAATATTCAAGAGTTCAATAGCGGAAAACAAGGACAACCAGTAAGAAGATTTATAAGTTTCTATGCACCATTTGAGTCATACCAGTTATATTTCTACCTAGGTGATCAAATGCACGAGACGATGGGATTTAGAGTCCACAACAAAAATTTTGAAACTTTAATATTTAGTGGGGACGCAGTGAACTCTTCAGATACCTTGTGTAAGCTAAACATTCATTGCATCACTATATATATATATATATATATATATATATATATATATTGTCAAATGGATGTGATACTTAAAAAGTCGAAAATATCAGTAAAGTTATGTAGAAATACGCGTTAAAGTTTGCTATGATTTGTTTTTCATCTAACTTTTTACTACTAAGTGGAATGCAACATTTTAAAGACGCTAGTAGTTTACGAGGAATATCCAAAAGAAACAAGATACAAATACAACAGATAAAATGTATCATACTCACTTGTACAGCGAAACACTCGAAAAGATGACCAATGGTTGCGAAGAGTCCTCTATGCCAGACCAGAGCAATCAAAAATCCAGGAGAGAAAAGCAGTATGTTCATCTTTACAGACACACCAAGACTGCAACAGAGAAATATCGAAAATATTAGTGAAAACAAGTTCGCGTCTACTTTTCACACTTAGGCTGTCAATAATATATATCGAGTTTTACCAACACGTAACCAGATTTACCAAATAGTGCCGTAAATCAAAATAACTGCAAATATTAGCCGATATTGACACACAATTTCATTATCAGTTGCAGACTGAAAACTACTCTTATTATGCGTCAAATAGAGAAGTTACACATTTTCGGACACAATTTTTTTATTAAAAATGAAATATACGTGCCTAAGAAACGCTAACGATGAATCTCATAGAACACACTATTGCATTACAGAAAATCTAGGTATTTACTTGCTGAAAATTCCAAACTTCTCAAATCCTTAGAAAAGTGATGTAGCTGTTGGGGAATATCAGTGTATTAAGGGATCAGAAAGGGAACTGCCACCACTAGTTATCCAACTTAGATGTTGACCAGTTAACTGAATTATTAACAACGCGAAGACAGTTAAATATAACACCAAATCCAGATGTATCAGTATGATGTAAGTCTGGAAAGCATATAAATATTCAGTAATATCTGCTAACAACTGTTTCAATTATATATATATATATATATATATATAGCGCTTTCATCAGTTGGCTTCTGTGTTTTGCCTTCTGCTGTTACAGAAGAAAATGCAAACGGGTTGAAGATACGCTAGAGTCACCAATTTCTAGAACGGAACCTGAGTGGGAAGCAATGAGTTTAGCATCTGAGGGTAACACATCATGTGTAAACGAAATTAAAGTCTATGTGTAGTCATGGAGTCGGTTGAAAGTGATGGAAGAAGGCTGATTGAAGTAAAAATGTGTCACTGAAACCCTACGTTCTACACAGGACGCTAGAAATAATACACCTATGCGAAAGTTCAATCACCTTTTTCGTAATAAAACCTGAGACTTTATACGCTTGTTCCAAATTTTATTACCTATAATATATTTATAATCCCATTTTCTGAAAATTGAAAGTGTAGGACAAAAAAGAACTTGGGCATATCAACTAAATTGAAACTTCATGCTAAAAAGTAGTCTGACCCCATTCCACCCCAACGTAAATTTAATTCAGTGACTAATGTTTCAATTACCACACAACTACTTATTAGTAATGCAACTAGTGCAAAGGCTGACAGCGACCGCTATACCTCCCCTACTGGATAAAGGCAATCGTAATGACTTTTCATTTAGTTATTGGTTAGTGTTTTGGATTGAGATAAATGGGCCACTCTGGGAATTTCTTGATATAAGTGAGAAAACCGGATAAAGAGTGGACTGAGCTCCGTTAGGGAACTGGAACAAAAGAGAGGTTTCGCGTGCATTTCGGATTGAAAAGATTAGCTGTCTTTGATCATAGGTGCCTGAGCTCTATTTCCCGTGTGAAGTGGTATAATAAGGTGAGCAATTTTGAGGTTAGGCGTCGAGTTCTAGGTAAGGAGGCGAAATCAATCGACGAGGCTGTGAAGTTACATCGACTGAGATGGTTAGGACATGTGTTACGTATGCCTAAACATCCCCTTCCTCGACGAGCAATGTTAGCAGATATAGGGTCAGGCCGGAAAAGAGCTAGCGGCGGTCAAACAAAAGCATGGCACCAGTCAATGAAATCCACAACAGTTGGTGTAAGCCATGTGGGAAGGTGTAGACTTCCTGGCTGGGGTCCTCGGGACGGTAAAAATCTATGGTTGGAAACAATTGGTGACATGGCTCAAAATCGTTCTCAATGGATGGGCGCAGATGTATCCACTCCTTGTGACTTATGATATCCAATGAAACTGTTTGGTTCTTCGTTATTACTCTTCCTTTGTCTTACACCTCTGTTTACTGTCTCTATTATGCTTTTCTTGTACTTTCTTCTCTTGCTTCGTGTGCTAAACGGATTGTGGCGACTTGAACTGGCGCACATTTGTGCAAAGTTCTATGTCGAAAACAGACAGAGAGACAGGGACAAAAGGACAATTTTTTAGATTACATGGCATATGCCATGTTAGTATATACTCGGAAAGTATATGATTGCGGAATTGTTCTTCGACATGTAGGATAAGTTGGAGAAACTGGGAGGAGATTATCATTGAGAAAATAGGGAAAAGTGTGATAGAATGGTTTCATTCTCTCAACATACCACTCGTTCAATATCACTCAAATATATCATGTTTTTCCCAAGTTTCCGATATATTTATTCGGTTATTCGAAACTTGAACAGAAGTTATGCTAGTTTACTCAACAATGATTTCACATAAGAAAGACTGAGGAAAATGTGATGTCTCAAATACAAATACATTAAACTTACCTGAACAATACGCTCCCAATTGTGAAACGGTTGTACAGCAAGGCGTTGATGGATGCATACAAAAAGAACATGGCGACCGGATCATTGAAAAGTCTCAATAGGTATATTGAATGCACACGATAAGATACAACACACATAAAAACGAGGGCATAGGGGGGAACCTGCAATGATTCGTAATGTAATGAAAATTACGTGGAATGACAGTCTGTATATATTGAAAACCAGCACTAATGTAGCGATATACAGTGCGAGAAAGACGAACTGAGCAATTTTTATGGCTGTTCCTGCACTGGTAAGCCAGTAAAGAAAGGTGTAAATGTATATATATCCCGCTGGGTAACTACAAATATTCAAGTCTAGCTACTATAACATACACGCACGGCCCTGTTTGACCTTCCAACTTGTCATAATCCAAAGTGCCATTTAAAAACCCTGCAACCTGCTGCATATAAGCGACCCAGTCTATTTCCGTGTCTGAAATTAAGTATATTAGATGAGAAAATTGTAAAATTACATACATGGAACTTTTTCAACAATTAAGTAACTAAATAAAACATCTGCAATCAGAAGAAGAGGCGACAGAAACAAAAAACCATAAGGTTCATACAACAATCCCTTAAGGAACCCAAGTGCACGCTTCAGAACCATAGTAACGCAGTAATTTGAATAATCCTACGTCCTTGATCAATCAGAAACACCCACGAACGGTTCAATGAATTTGAGAAATGAAATTTCTAGGTTTACTAGCCTAAAAACACGATTTCAACCTTCTTCCTGCGCTGCAGAGTACAAGCTTGTATTTCCTACTTCTGAATTTCAGAAGTGTATGCTTGTTTATTTATTCTGTTACCATTTATTTATTTCTGATATGCTGTTGAATCATGTGATGTTATCCTATGCACATCATTTCTATGATTTACAGTTGCAGTGTTTGAATATCTACTTTTTTAAGTGTGCCGATGATATAACTATTTCAGTGTCTGTCAACTCCCAGCTAGAATGTACAAAATGAACAGCTTTCTATCAGGAATTAGCAAATGGTCTTCGTCTAACGGCCTTAAACTAGATCCTTCCAAATGTCATGCAGTTATTTCAGTTTCAGATGTGAAAGAATGTTAAATGAAGGTGTTAATTCCCATGATCGTTGTATAATTGATGATAGTGATATATAAATCAAGCCTGACGCTCTTTCTTCTGACCAATCCTGGTCTTCCCATGTCATAGCGATTTCTAAAAGAATATTTCGTCTGACTGTTCACATTAAGAAGTAAGGCACTCAGGCAAAACTCATCCCCTCCTCTTACAATTTGTTAATTCGTGCATCTCACTTATTCCTCTTGATTGTTAACCCTTATTCTTTCCTGGATTGCTTAAAAAAGACTGCCATACTTCGTAGAACTGTGAAGATTCAGTAGGAAGTGTGGTCTGCCTTTGGGCCATATCCTTCCAATCGTCATTGATGATGGACACTTGATCTGTGTAGACCGTGAGCATTCATTTTACCTGCAGCTTTTACGTTGTCTCTCCTCAGGCAAAACAAGAGGTCATTCCAAAAGACTGTATGCGTGCGCGTCTTAGCATAAAACATCCACAAAGCATTTGGCACGTATTATATGCGATGAATATAGTGTCATAGGCGGACTGGCTATCCATTATTGCACTAGTGAATAAACCATTCTCTCCATCTTAATCTCATCAAGCCTTACTGTTATTATTATATTTGTAATCCTTTCTCGAAAATTTTGACTTAATACTGTAAATGTGAACAAATTCCTGTGGTTAATTTTTACTTAAATTAATTCAGACGCAATACTGTGATAAATGCTGAGAATTCCATTCTGTATTATAAGTACTGTTTCTGAGATCGAAGTAGGTTATCATTACTGGACTTTAATGACGCCACTTTATCCTGCTTGACATGTTGTTCTTGCTTTAATCATGATATTACAGTGTTTCGCAGAACTCATCACACAACGTATCAGCCTAAAATGTATACCACATGCAGGTATAATGCTTATGAGCTAGGTATACAAATCGAAGTAAACATTTGTAAGGTGCATTCATTATGTATAAGACTAACTAGTATGTAAGAGTTACGATTTGACCAGTTATAATAATAATAATAATAATATATATTCTCAATTTTTACATGAGGGACGCCAGTTTACAGGCATCATCAATTCGATAATTTACACATAATATTAATAAGCATATTTAGTAAAGATAATATAATAAAGTACATTTTTTCCCTAGCTATGTAGGGTACACCAATTGTATAGGCATGCATAAATATTGTTTTAATAATAATAATATATTCCTTCCTGTTTATGCAGGAACATACCTATTGTACAGGCATGGATAAGTTATTATATAAATTACACATAATTTGATGTATAATGGACTTACACTTTGGTTGTTCTTTCTGACATTAGGGTCAGTCGGAACAGTCTGCTATAAAGTCTGTTTGTGTAGCACATAAAGAGATATAGAAATATTGTCTTCGCATTAACAAAAAACCCAGACATCAGATGAATGTAATACAGATATCTGGGAAAAATAAAGCTTGAAGTCAATTCTCCTATATAACTTTGTTGTGAACAGCACCCTTGGCTTAAAGATTATTGATGTATTATGTTGAGATCAGTGATATATTTATTCCATTTTTCAGCAGTCTTATCGTAGTTTCATAACAGGAAAGAAATTTGATCGTGGAGGCGAAAATTAGATAAGGTCATGTTAAGTTGTTTCACTGCATCAAATGGTCCCGAGGTCGATTCCAGAATTCCCCATTTGCGCCATTTGTGTCTGCATGGCGGACTGTATTCATAAGTTCAGAAAAATGTTGAAAAACTGTTTGAAAACCAGTTGCTTCTTCACTTCAGATCATGAATACTCATTTACAGCATGTCCGCCAGCTTCTTTAAATGGTAGAATTGGATCGTTCCTGGAATTTGAGTGATTATGGGATAAATGGTTTGGAATTAATCATAGCAGTTAGAATACAGTTAAACAGGCAGGGAAGCACTATTGATTCATCAACCGGTGAATTTTTTATTCTTTTCGATCTAGTACCAGAATAACTGCGAACCATTCCATTCAATATGTCGAATAAGGCACGCAGGAGGAGATCATTACCATGGAATGAGTCAACTTGATCTGAGATGCAGCTTTCAGCATGTTTTCGTTATATCATAGATATCCAGGTTTATTGGCGCTGTAGAGGCAGTGATTTGGATTATGACGTATTCTACAAAGTCTCCGTGCCCATTTGAAGTATACATGTGCTTTGAGAGGATTACTTTGTTGGCTCCTACCCCCACTGAGTGTTAACAACAGCTGCTGTGGGTTTATGTATTTCCTCGCCTTTTTGGATAAAACATCGCCGCATTCCTTTTGGGTAGGAGACCAGTTGGTGGATTATAAATGATATCCAAGTAACTTTTATCTTTTCATGTGGTTTTGCGGTAAGTTTCTACCTTGTTTTCTCGTATTTCATTCGTATGTTGATTATGGTTCGCCCTTTGTATCAGGTAGACATAGTTTGATCGACTCTTGGTTGAATGGGTGTTATTGTCATGACTGCTGCTTTTTTGTCTGGAATTATAAATACAACGCTTAAAATATTTAGACACAATTAACCTACGCTGCTTACTTATATGACGCATTAACTAAAGCTATGTAGTTACCTTGAAGTGGTTTCCGCTGAAGGTAATCTCTCTTAGCTACTACCTTAAAGAGCAACTTAACGTTATCTTTGGGTTACAAAGTAAAAGTGACAATTCTGAGAACTTTCTCGGTGAAAAGGTCGTCTTCTACCCGAAAAAAGTAAATATACCCTAATCTCCACAAATGCGTTTAGAGGTATTCGTTCTATAACCTCAAATCAGTCAGTTTGAAGTCACATAAAAATTAGAAAAAAATTCACAGAAGACAGTGCACTAATAACTTCTAGATATCATAATGCACCATTAGGAAAGAGCCATATCCATAGGGTTATAACAGTCAGATGCGCGAAACACAACGACCACGATTCTTGGTCACAGAACATCCTCCTTTGCTACATGATCGTCCAATCAAATCAACAGATGTTTCACCGAGAAAAAGAAGACCACTGGTTCAAAGAAAATTCGTTTAAAGTTTACTTAAAAATAATGGACATCCATATTTATAGCTATGGAGAAGTCACAACTTAGAGATTGTAGACCAACCGATCCTAGACCACAACCCGAAACGTTATTCTTGCTAATTAAAGTCTTACCTTTAACTGGGATGGTTTGTACACTCACCATATCATCATGCTATCCACATTTTAAGTCGTTTTGCAACACACTGAATGGCTGTTAACACTGGCTTTGCCACAGGCGGTCCTAGTTCATGTATTCGGATCTAGTAATTTGGACATTAATAAACATAGGTAGCACTCCCTATCTAGGGGTTTCTGATTGCCCTCCTGTATCCTTTCGGTCCCGAAAATACATAAAAGCACAACAGATTCACAGTTCTCATGTGGCTCAAAATTGTTTGATTCAGATTCTCTGACAATATATCTGATTCTTTAATTGATAGTAGACACTGATGGTATACTCAGCTTCTCGAAAAGCTTCAAAGCTTTTGCAAATCCAAATCAGGTTTGAAATTTTCGAGGTTTAATTTGTTCTTCGAAAACACTGCTAATATCAACTCTGTAGTCTCTTCACCAGATACACTCGTAGATAAATAAATAAATAAATTTATTCTCATGATACAGTACATGAGGGACGCCAGTTTACAGGCATCATCAAATTGTTACAGAAATAGGACCATATTATTCAGTCACAATTTACAATCGATAGCAAAATATGTTTAACATGTACACTGGAGATTATTGTTGCATGGTGTAAACAAGAACGTGAAAGACATTGTTTTTTCCAGATTTCTACATACCAAGTAACCAACTGAGCCAGAAACGATAACGGCAACCAGCAAATGAATTAAAAACGACAGCTTCTGTCAGCTAAACATGTTCGCGTGCATATTTTCCAAAACTTCTACACATCACTATCTCATAAATAGAAGAAAAACCACGCAGATATGCAGGGCATGAAACAATTATAATGAAATGAATGCACTGACCTGGTGGTAAAACTTTTGAAACAAACGAGATAACACAGCATTTGTGAACAACATGCATCAACATAAGTTGTGAATAACTGCAGGATAAGCGTAAAAACCAGTGTGTAAACGAACGGCTACGGAACTACAATCCAATATAGCCGACTAACATGGACGAAAATGACCTTTGGGCGTCTCACTCCACCAATGACCCTGAGTATGTGGGTTAGTTTTAGTCTTATCAAACGGTCTTTCGCGAAAGTCAGCTCACTGAAATATCAAAGATCCTAAGTGGCCAACATATGTGTGAGAAGTTATTTGGCGTAAGAATAATCAGAAGTCAGTATCGAGGATTGGGAGGCGTCAGACAGTTCAGATGAACCACCCAAGCTTATTATTATGCTGAATTAAATCTCACTAATCCTGAAATAACTCTAACATTTTATGCTGAGTAAATTCTCAATCTGTCCTGAATTGGTTTATCTGACGGCACAAACTAAAACTCATTGCTGGTTCTCAGCATGAACGGCACTAATTCAGCACCATTTACTATAATAATAATAATAATTTTCTATTTCTGTA